GTTGTATAGCATTTTGTTTTTCCTAGTGTTCATAAGTGTGTTATTTTTAACAGTCACTTCAGTTTCCATATTCTTACTACTGCTTCAAATTCAGCTCCCCATCAGAACTACAAAATCCTTCTCAGTGGTTAAACACAGCAGGTACTATGTCAATTCTATTTTTTATGGAAACCTGTTTTCTATTTTTTTCTGTTCTTCCCTTCAATATTTCAATGCAGAAATCTAGTATTTCTGCATTGATGTTCTGATTTTTGCATCCTTTCTCTCCTATTTTCTATTTCTTTGTGTCTTGATCCTACTTTCTGGAAGATTTCTTCACTTCATCTTCTCAACATTATACTGATTTATTTTTCCACCTTAGTTTACTATGTGGTTTTATTATACACTGAATGTCCATATTTTTTCTTTCATACAAGTATTTTATTTCATGCATGCAACTGGTCATCTGTCCAGAGATTTTTTTTTTTTAATGGTCTCTCTGCTCCCTCCATTTTCTTTTGAGTCATTTCTTTTCATTCCTTTAATTTTCTTTTCTTTTATCTCCTTTGTCTTCTTTTTAAAAAAATCTTTCTGGTGTTTCTTCTGGTCTCTACTTAGAAAGAAATATCACATGTTGTCAAATGTATCTCTATATTTAAGAATGAGGCACTAAAAACTATTTAGAGCTCAATTAGTAGTAGGTGACTCATTGAGCAATAGTCTTAGCTATACAACTATAATATGGCTGCCCAGAGGTTCCCCAGATGTCAGTATCTGTACGTCTTTTCTCTTGGGAGAGATAGTTTTCCCAGAGATATATTATTCTATCTACTGCTTAGTGGAAGAAGTTTAGGTCTGGCTTTCAGCTATTGTAGGGTGGACAAGGTTACCATTTTGTGCACAGACCATATATCATCCTCATTTTACACTCTCTAGCCTTTAGAGCATGGGGGAGGAAATTGAGAATAGAGGGTCCACTGTTGTTCCTACAAAGTTTAAATCAATTGTTTTCCTTTTAGCTCTTTTCTTGCCCTCAATTTATGAAGTCCTAGGTGCCTCAAATTTCTAAAAGTTTGGAGATAATTATTTTCTTCCTTTTGAGCTCTTCGCTTTGGCTTAAGTTTCTCTGTCTGTTAAGTCGATTTTCACAGGTGCACTCATTTTCAAGCTTCCTAAAATATGTTGTCATCACTTGTCTGTTTCTGTCTTCCTTCCCATTGCTTTCATCCTACTGTGTGTTAATGTCATTTTTAGTCCTTATTTAGTTTATTTCCTTGTTTTAGTGAGGTTTAATCAGGAAATGCAGAGAAATGTGAAGTTCAATAGGTCGCCTTTGCCGGGACATTCTGCTTCTTCCTTTAAACAGGCAGGAGAGCCAGATCGCTCATGAAACATCACAGATGTTCCACTGGTAAATTCAACAATATTTTTCTTTTTCTAGCACAATTTTTGTTAACAAAGAAACTGAAGATTTATTTGAGGCATTTGAAGAGTTCAAAGTCCTGTGAAATTTCCAAAAACAACTCACAAAAAATGAATTTTTTCTTTGATCATGTGAACAAACAAAAACTAAGAGCTGAGACCATCTGTTTCGTCTGAATTCATACTGAAACACAAAAGATGCATTGATGAATTATTCCATAGATTTTTCTCAAAATATTAGAAGAAATATGAGCAATTCATAATGAATGACATAATTTATGAGACATAATTTCAGTTTTATTCCTCTAAGACAGAAAACACTTGAGCATTTCCAGGGGACATAGTAAAAAAATCTTATAAATCCCACTTAAATTATTTAACTCTTCAATATAATAAATAACCTTTAGTATTCTTTAATATAGTGCATCTAAATTAGAGCAATTAAGTGTTTTAGTACAATTATGCTTTTGAAATGGCATAATCTTCTTAATAACAAGATTTCATCCTATTTGAAAAATTTTCAGGATGGACAGAGTTAAGTGCTTTCAGCTTTGATGACATATTGTTAGTAAGAAGCTCCCTGCCCAAAATGTAGTCTAGCTTTTATATTCTCTTATGTTCAATGATAAGAAAAAACTAAAAGCTTACTCATATGTTCTTTATGTTGACATTTTCCAACCCCAATAAGACTTATTATAGACAAATATCCATAATAATACAGGACAAGGATATACTACACTACACACAAATGAACACATACATGTTGTATTTCAATTCTGTCAATGGAAATAGTCTAGAATTCTATCTTCACAAGGTGATTATTCCATACTACCTGGTCTTGCAACCTAAGCCATCCCAAACCTGTCTAAAGTGAAACAATACTTTAAAATATAGTTGAAAATAAAAAGGTACTGGCATAAGAACAGAGACATAGACCAGTGGAACAGAACTGAGAACCCAGATATAAAACCATCTTCATATAGCCATCTAATCTTTCACAAAGCAGACAAAAACATAGACTGGGGAAAAGGATTTCAATAAATGGTGCTGTGAAAATTGGATAGCCACATATAGAAGACTGAAACAGGATCCACACTTTTCACCTCTCACAAAAATCAACTCATGGTGGATAATAGACTTAAACCTAAGGCATGAAACTATAAGAATTCTAGAAGAAAATGTTGAAAAACTCTTACAGACATTGATTGGCCTAGGCAAAGAATTTATGAAGAAGACACCAAAGGCAATCACAGTAACAACAAAAATAAATAAATGGGACCTGGTCAAATTAAAAAGCTTCTGCAAAGCCGACTATCACAAGAGCAGACAGACAAGCTATAGAATGGGAGAAAATATTGGCATGCTACACATCTGATAAAGGGCTGATAACTAGAATCTATATAGAACTCAGAAAAATCAGCAAGAAAAAAATCAAACAGCTGTATCACAAAGTAGGCAAAGGACATGAATAGAAACTTTTCAAAGGAAGATAGACTAATGGCCAACAAACATATGAAAAAAATTCTCAGCATCTCTAGCCATTGGAGAAATGCAAATCAAAACCACAATGAGATATCACTTCTCTCCAGTGAGGATGGCCTTTATCAAAAAGTCACAAAACAATAAATGTTGGCGTGGATGTGGAGAGGTAGGAACACTCATACACTGCTGGTGGGACTGCAAACTAGTACAACCTCTGTGGAAAGTAATATAGTGATACCTCAAAGAGCTACAAATAGAACTACCTACCATTTGATCCAGCAATCTCATTACTAGGCATCTACCCAAAGGAAAAAAAGACATTCTATAAAAAAGACATCTTCACTCAAATGTTTATAGCAGCACAATTCACAATTGCAAAGATGTGGAAACAACCCAAGTGCCCATCAGTACATAAATGGATTAATAAAATGTGGTATATATATACCATGGATTTCGCCACACAAAACAATGGTGATCTAGCACCTCTTGTATTATCCTGGATGGAGCTGGAGCCCATTCTACTAAATGAAGTATCACCAGAATGGAAAAACAAGCACCACATGTACTCACCATCCAATTGGTATTAACTGACTTAACTGACCAAACACCTTAAGTGCACATATGGTAATACATTCATCGGGTGTTGGACAGGTGGGAGGGGGAACGTGGGGATGGGTAGATTCACACTTAATGAGTGTGATGCACACTGTCTGGGGGATGGACACGCTTGAAGCTCTTACTGGGGAGGGGCAAAGCCAATATATGTAACCTAAACATTTGTACCCCCGTAATATGCTGAAATTAAAAAAAATAAGATTCTGGGGTAACAGTTTCTGTCAGCATCTGAAGAATATTTGTCATTTCTTTCTGGCCTCTATGATTTCTGATAAAAAAATCTGCTCTAATTCTAATTGTTTTTCCTCTATAAGTAGGGTGTCATTGTTCTCTAAATGCTTTCAGGATTTTTATTTAGTTTTTAGAAATTTGTGTATTATGTGTCTTGGTATGGATATCATTGAGCTTATCCTGTTTGAATAAGGTTGACTCAGCATTTTGAATCTGTAGGCTTATGTCATTTGCAAAATTTATAAAAATTTTAGTCATCATTTTTTTTTTTTTTTTTAGCTCCATACCTTTCCCTCTCTTTATCTGAGACCGTGATAACACAAATGTTAGATCTTTTCCGATGACATGGATGTTAGATCTTTTGTTGTATTCCTACAGGTCCCTGAGGCTCTGCCTATCACCATCTGTTATTTCTTGGTTGTTCATTATTCTTATAGTTCACCGATTCTTTTCTGTGTCTTCTCCATTTTTATGTTGAGCCTATCCACTGAGTTTTTACTTTGTTATTGTATTTTTCAGTTCTAAAATTTTCATTTGGTTTCACTTCCTAGTGTCTGTTTCTTTGCTGAGGCTTTCTGTGATTTGTTTCAAGCATACTTGTAATCGCTTATTGAAGCATTTTTATCATGTCTACATTAAATTCTTTGTCAGGTATTAAACATCTCTGTCATTTTGAGGTTGGCTTTAGTTGATTTTCTTTTCATTGAGTTTGAAATCTTTCTGGTTCTTTGAGGAATAATTTTTGACTGAAGCCTAGACAATTTATGTTATTTTATTAGATTATGGATCTCATTTAAACTTTCATTTTTTAACTGGCTTTCTCTGACACTGCTCTTTCAGGGCAAGGAGAGGTGCTACCAGGTTTCCCTATATTGACAAGTGAGCGGGGAGGCTCTTAGTTCTTGCTGGATGTTCCAGATCCCCACGTGGTCTCTACTGACACCATGGTGGGAGGGGCCTCTTACTGCTGGGTGATGTTGAAAGTCTTAACTCTCCACTAGAACTCCTCTGAAACTGCCCCAGCAGGGAGGGAGGGCATGCCTTGTTTCTGTGGGGTGAGGGTGGAATTCCTGGCTCTCCATGGTCTCACCTGACACAGAAAGGTGAGGCTCACTATAGGATGGTGAGGCCTGAACGTTCAGCTCGCTGTTTGTCCTTCCCTAACACTACCTCAGCATAGATGTTGGGAGCACCTCATTACAGCATAACAATGACAAAAATACTCCACAATACTCTAATTCACTGAAATCAGGAATTTGTTTGTGACTTACCTTATTGAATAAAGAACATTTCCGTTTTTGAAAATTCTGAGTAGTTTGTTGTCAGTAGTGACTTCATGAAAGTTGGCACCCTTTTCATTGGCAAAGAACAAATCAGGTTTCCAAATGGAGTCTAGCATGGAGGGGTCGAGGTCTAAGGAGTCGTCAGGATATTCGCTATATGCAAGGCGAGGATCGTTCCATTTCTGACGAAGAAAAATATTCACTCTGTAATCCTATGGTAGAAGAAAGAAAAAAATCACCTTGCTTTAAAACAGTTTAGAATCCACAGTTTCAATGTAGTAGTGTCGGTGTAGGTTAATCGGTTGTAACACTGCACCGCTCTGGTGGGGACGTAGACAATGGGGAGGCTGCATGTGTGGGGGCACAGGGGGCAGAGGGTATCGGAGAAATCTGTACCTTCCTCTGCATTTGGCTGTGAGCCTAAAACTGCTCTAAAACATAAAGTCTTTATTAAAAAGTTTAAGATATTCTATTCTATTCTTTGGGTTTCTATGAATTATAACAAGAGCCAATGACAACTGTGGAGTTTTCATGCTTCACAGTCTTCTCTCATTACTACCTAAGATAGTCATTCTAGTTCCAAGGTTTGCCCATGTTGTCAGTGACCTTTATGCTTCAAAAGAAAAGACCACAATTATCATGCTTATATTTTGCTTTGCCATTAAAATTTTACTTCCCTGATTTGTCTGAATAAAATATTAGATTGCTATTAGACACTTGGAGTAGAATATTTTTACCTTCGCATTTATTTTCTAGAGTCATTTCTTTAAGAGATATCCAATAACATCCAGAATACATTTAGTGAAATTTTCTTGAAAGCTGTCTGTGTTACAAAAGTGACCATATGTACTTCACAATGAAGACACATTTTATCATGTTTGATATCACATGTAAGTTCTGTGAAATAAGTAATCTGGGGAAAAATAAAAGATGATTTTGGAATAATAATAGAATAACAAGGACAATTACTGCCAACAATACTTTAAGATTTGGCTAAGGAGATTTCCCAAAACTAGACCTTTAATAGTTAACTTAAAAAGAGAGAGCTTAATGATTTCAACCAATTCTTGATCACAATTTTGGATTAATGTATACAAAGACAAAGATTGAAAAACGTGTGTATGTGTAGTGTTTGTGTATACACGGTATATAAAAACAGGTAGCACATATAACTTTGTAAATAAAATTTTCCCATTAGATTTTTGAAATGAGCAAATAAATTAAACATAGACTTTCTTGTAAGCATGATTAAAGCAAACATTTGAAGAAAACTTCATTTCCATGAAAATTATCTAAGGCTGGAGACAGAAAAACTGAAAACCAATCTTCATCTATTTTTCCATTTTTTTAATGCTAAATTATGAGTCTTCAGCATATAGTAACCAAGCAACCACAAGGGATGCTTCCATTATATCAGGCTAGGCACACTGCCTATCCTGTGGGGTAGATCAGATTCAGAGTTTGTATTGAATGTTACACTTCTGTATCCCCTTGATCAATGTTTGTGTACTGAGACCACAGTCTTCTAACTGCAACTAAGTTATATACCAGATAGTATTTTCTCTGCTTGCTAGGCGACCCATGTATCTTCCAAAGTGACAATGAGGCAGAATTCACTTTAGCTTTTTATCAGAAAGCTCACAATAATATAGAAATCTCACCAGCCACAAGGATCTGTAGAACCTGTAAATAGGGATATGTGAACAAGCTTCTACCAGCCAAGAACAGGTCATCCTCTCTTAGCCTGGAGATCAGAGCACCATGAAGCAGAGCTCTGTGGTTGGTGACCAGTTCTTGTTTCCTTCGCCATTCTGCAGCATGTGCCTTACTGCCACCAGAGGAATCGGCGATGGCACTAAAATCAGATGATCTCTGACTTGTATGCAGGAGAAGGCTGAGCAAGGTCAAGCTATAATCATGCCTGCCAGGAAAGATAACTGGCTAGCAAAGAGTTTATATTTGTACTGATTCATAAGATATATACCCAAGTTGTTTGAAGTATTTTTATGCTGTAACATATTTCTTGATTGAGAACTCTCTGCAGCTGTTGCCTACACTTAGGCTAAAATAAAAATACTTTTATGCTTCAGTATATGCAATAAAACTTGGCTGAATCTCTTCATCCTTATGTTATTGGTACTAGTGATAAACTTTATAGGCACAATTTCACATCTTCCAGCAACATTTTTTGCTCCAAGAGTGAGCTAAAAAAGACATCAAATATCCTTTATTTTCTGTTTCTAAATCACATAAGGAAAAATCAACAGTCACCTGTTACCAAGACCAAATGTTATCATATATCAAGTGTGGTGGTTTTTTTTTTTTTTTTTTTCTTGTTGTTCTGTGAATAACCAGAAATATCTTTTTTTCTTAACCCATTTGGGTCTTCGGTATAGGGCCAGGGTTTAAAGCAAAACTCTAAAATAACCGTGTCCTGAAAAACCTTAGAAACTTAGGTTTTACACATTGCTCACAATTTGAGTTTTGATTTCCCTCCTAATGAACATCGAAAATGGGAAGTTTCCCTACTAAGTAACCAAATTCAGTATTTCAAAACCAGTTTTTAAGGAAGATTCCTCATAGCCATAGTATTCCCTTATACCTAGCAAGCAATCATATTAATTAATTTTAAATCCTGGTCATTTATGAAAATGTGCAAAGAAAGGGTAAATAAACTGACATAGTCAAATACCACCCTAAGAGAAATCCTTGTAACAAGACTTGAAATAACTTGCCTACAATAAGAGACCTTGGACTGAAGGAAAAAATAGCTTCGCACAACACAGACTAGAGGATGTGTATGCAGCATGTGCAAAGCAATTTTTAAAAGTTATAAAAACCAGTTTAAAAACTCAAGCATTCATTGACTATATATAAAATAGTGTTTTAGTAACTGAACTTTTACTGTTTATCCATTCATTTATATTATACTATCAATAGACTATGTCTCTATAAGGATGAAAATGTGGAAAGGATATTTATGATTATTTTTAAAGAACAATAATAAATGTGAGGTATATATTGAGAATGAAATTAATATTTATGTTTTAGATTTGTAAAATTCAGACATACATTGAGTTCATGCATAAGCCTTAAAAAAGTTAGTTGAATTGACCTTAATATAGAATCATAAAATTTTAGTACAGAGACATTAATGATTCTTTTGTCCTACACACTCCTGCAGTAATATACACTTTCGGGAACCCTTCAGAAGTTTAATTTATCTTTATATCTGTTATGTAATAAATGTTATTTGCTAATATATGTTGTAGCTTATGAGTCTACTATTATTTTAATGTAACTGATTGAAATATAATTCTATTCATAATATAGAAAGACTAATTTGACATTTTAGAAGTAGAATGATGAACTCTATTGTAACTAATTTAAGTTAATAGTGTAAGAAAATTTTTTTTGGCAAATAAAATCATATGTCATGTTTAATTTTGAAAATAAGTATCCACTAAAATGTAGTTTAAATTCAATGTGTAGATCACATAATTAATAATATACTCCACACTGCATTTCTGACTGAATGTTTGAAATTCTTATATTATGAGGTACCAAAAAATAATACAGCATGTCAGACAAATTTTTATAATGGTGAATAGACCAGGCTGAGGAATAAGTCTTCTCATGATCAAATCCCAGTTCTCGAAATTAATATCTTTCTAATCTCCCTGTGCCTTGTTTTTCATCTGTAAAATAAGAATGGCTGTGCAGTCCTTCCTCAGATAGTGTTGTCAGGAGCACTGAATTGGTCCACATAAAATACTTACAACTGAACTCGTAAATATTAGCTTTTAGGACACCCCCCTCCCAAATTAGAAGCCATATTAAACAGAAGTTTGGTTGTATTTTCTGTCTCTAAATTAGTTTTGAAATACTTAGGGATATTTTGATTAGCTATATAAGAATTTGGAAGAGATAATTGCAACTTTGCAATCTTGTGAATAACAGTTTAGAAAATTTACAGAACTATTATAATGAACTTATTGTTAACTTTATGTATTAACTTTTGTATTTCAACATTCATGTATTTTTAGGTTTTTATATGTCCTTATTCAATTGCCCTCTTTTCCCCCATGTAGACACATACACACATATACTAAATTTGTACGTTTGTGTATATAAAGCTCTCATCTACAGTGGTAGAGTTGTTCACATTTACATGGCAGTTTGTGCCAAATGTGATACTAGATGCTTCATGGATTACTCATTCTATCCGCATAGCAAATCCATGAGGTAGGTATGTTATTTGCCTAGTTTTACAGATGTGGAAAGTGGGACAAAGGAGATAATTTAAGCAGCTTTAACACAAGTCACATAACTAATAAGTGGTAGAGCTGTAATTCAGACCTAGAGGTTCTGGCTTTAGAGCTTTATAAGACATGCTGCCTCTCTGATATATTGCCACTCATGTTTGCCTCATAAGGAAACCAAACATTCTATAAAATAATGCAAAGATTCTGGATTTATATGGTTTCTGCTTGCCTTTGTGAGGAATTTGGGGGCTTATTGATGAATATGCTAATTGATGGGAAATTATAACATTAAAACCTTAAGGTCCTCTGGTTAAATTTAGTGGGAGCCAGGTTGTTATTTCTGCAGAATAGGTACCCTGGAGGAAGAACAAATTTAGTAAAAAACACAACTTAATTTATCAGCTAAAATGGCGTATAGAATATGAACTTTCATCTTTCGCTACATAGGGAAGTATAGGATATCTAGAAACTAAATTGAAATAACCAATTATAAAAAATTAGAGAAAAATTATCTAATGTCAACAAAGAAAGTTGTAAGTGGTTCTCTTCACTTATCCTCTAATTCAGTTAAGTTTAAAGTTCTCCAGTGCTTTTAGGCAATCTCTGATCCAGCACCTATTTTCCCTCTCTCCTTTCTTTTCCCCCTGCCTTTTTCCTTCCTTATCTCTCCCTTGCCTCTCCTGTCATCTTTCTTTCTGGATCTGTTTCTTTGTCTCTATCTCTCTCTTTTTCACACACAGATGCGTGAACACACGCACATACACAAACACACACATACATGTCCTGCCTCTTTAGGACTGGGTGCCAAGTTTCTATATTGGTACATTTCTATACTGGCATGAAGGATTTTTTTAAATTGTTTTTTACAGAGTTAAGAAAAGAGACTTCTATAATGCTATCCTTGCTTCCTTTATTTCCTTTCTTTTCATTTTCCTACACATTTCAGA